ACCTTTGGAAGAGATTTTTTCCCTTCCAGCATCTGAAAACTCATCCTTCTCATTAGCTTTATTCTAACCTTGAAGAATTTAGTAGAACAGCTGTTAAAATTCTCTGCTACAGTGACATGATTTTAAACATATAAAAGAAACATGATTTTTTACCAACAAAAATATCATACAGATGTCTCTGGTATTTTTTGCTAAATCACCTCTTCCAAGTTTCATATAATTTATTAATGCAATGGGAATAAAAGCATTTTAAATCAAAATGCTACACATTGCAAGTCTCTCTTGTAAGGACCAAAATAAACAGTTCAGTGGCTGTTGGGTTTACTTCATCCTTAATTCTTGATTCCTTATCGTTTATACATTATTTGATCTACTGTGATTAGTACTGCTTCAAGATATTGCTTAGATATAGGCTGTGCTTGCGATACACATACTGTAATAACAGAAACCATTCAATACATGAAGGCAAAAAGTGAAGATGTTATAAAGGTCTAAACAAGGTATCAATATTGCTTAAGTGTATTCAAGGTAAAGGAGAGCTTTACTAAAAAAAATATTAGGCTTATGGAGAGTAATAAGACCCAAGTGCAGGGTGAATGCTTCTTATGCTTTAGGTGATCATAAGTACAAAGTAGGAAAGAGATCAGAAAATTTTCCCCATCCCTATCCTCACATTTCTCCATAATTTTTCTACCTGCTCACCTTTTTCCCCAACTGAGTACTAATCAATCTTGGCCTTGCCTTTGTTTGGCTAAAACATGCTTGGAAGAGTTATTGCAAACCAGGATACAAAGAAATGTCACTAGACTTCATACTGTGCCCTTTGATTGCTAAAATCAGGTCATCATTTCCTTTTCCTGTGTGACAGTGAATATTTAAACCTGATCAGGCTGTATGCATCACAAGGCTCTTCATACAGATCAAATAAGTCATCCATACTTTCTTAAATTTTAATTAGTGACACGACATCTTAGGAAGGAGTGTGAATACTAATTATTAATTTTTATACAATGAGGCCTTAGGAGAATGAACCAGAGGTTGAGTCATGAGTCAAAGATTTAATGGGCTTCATCACTTGAGATTTGCTTAATACAAATAAGAATGGCATGGATGACACCTTAAATGTGATTTAAAGATTGACTGCGTCCCCTGGCAAGCCATTTGTGTGCTTCTCAAGTGATTCAACAGTCCCTGGGCAATTTTATTTGTGACAGGAGAAACTCAGAAAGCTAGTTTTTGACAGTGTTTGCTGGTGGCTTTACCTGTTTTTACTGATGATATCCTGCACTTGCAAATGGCTGACTGCTCAGATTCAATTTCACCTATAAGAAGGTGAATCTAGTTATCAACAAAGCAGCCACTTCTAGGAAACCATTCACGTGAAGGAAAAAGGATAAACCTAATTTTCATGTATGCCCTCATAAATGTGTTTATGGCAACTTTTTACTTTATTCTTGGAGTAACAATTAAATAACCTTGTTGCACTGTAAACTTTTAAAGGTAACAGTGCAATTCACTATCAAATTGGTTAACTGTAAACTATTTTAAATAAATCAGTTAAAATAAAGTACAGTTTCAAATATACCAGCAGGAAATGGTACAAAATCTCAGTAGAAAGCCACAGAGAAGAATCTCACTGGTGAGTGATTATAACCATTTGCAACACTGAATGACAAATGAATAATTTTAGGCTTAGGGGGAAATTTTATTGGTAGAGTTATCCATGAGAAGTCTATTTCTCTAGTACTTGCCAACTTTATCACTGCTGAACCTCTGAAGATAGAATTAAAGTAAAGCACCACTTGAAGAATGTGCATTGAATTATAAGGCAATAAATAATGCTAAAGAAAATTAAGATAGTGTGTTCACAAAGAAATGTTTGAGCCATTTTAATTTTCATCTTGCTTTAAAACTATGGAAACTAAAGTCCCTCTGCACCCTATTTTATTTAGAACTTAACTCTCCAGCTGTATTGAACCTGGTTATCAAAAGAATATTTCTTATATTAGATGAAAAGTATAAAAGAATCCTTCACAGTATGTAAGAAGGAAAAAAGTGAGATGACTGTTGCTATTACAAGCAGATTCTACAAATTTCTATTGCTAGATACCCTCAGGGAGAGGCAGTCATTACAGGTAACCTGGCCCTGGGCCGTGAAGGGCTTAAAAGATTATTACCAGTAGCTTGAACTGCATCTTGAAAACAATTGGAAGCCAGTGCAGGTCACACAGCAGTGGTGTTACATAGGTGAACCATGGGGTAGGCAGAATTGTGCATGCTGCTGTATTCTGGACCAGTTGCAGCTTCCACGTGGTCTTCAAGGGAATGCCCCCATAGATCACATTGTAGTAATCCAAACGGGAGGTGACTAAGACATGGATGAGCATGAGGAAGGCCTCTTGACCCAGGAATGGATGCAATTGGTATAAAGCAGATTTGTGCAAAAGCCCCCTTGGCCACCAGGAAGAACCATGAGTCTAAGAAGACTCCAATTTGCACACCAAATCTGTAGAAGGGGATGTAACCCTATCCAGAGTCAGAGATGTCTACTCGCCTGACTCTCAGAGCCAAAATCCCATCATCAGTCCATTTTGTTAGGGATGAGTCACAGTTGATTTCTCCCTTTGCGGGTTGGGTGGGGTGTTTATAGCCACCAGATGCTGATCTAGTACCTGAACAGCATCCTTTGCCTTGAATGGGGTAGAGATGCATAATTGGATATCATCAGAAAACTGAGGATCCCAAAACCCAGATGGCTTCTCTCAGTGGCTCTATATAGATGTTAAATAGGAGGGGAGAGAGCCTTGAGGCATTCCATATATAGGAGCCTAGGGTTGAACCTCTCTTCCCACACTAGCACTGATTCGTACCAGCCATGGAGAAAGGAGGTGAACCACAGCAAAACTCTGCTCCCACTCCCAGCCTCCGAAGCAGGTCCAGCAATATAATATAGCTGATGGCATCAAACAGACAGCCAGAGACCCAGACAGCCAGGATGGACACTTCCCCACCCCCCCAAACATCTTGAACTCGCCAAAGATAATCCACAATGATCCACCAATACTGTCTTTAGACCAATAGCCTTGTCTGAATCCTAATTGAAAAGAGTTCATATAATCTGCTTCATCCAAGGCCCTTTATCGGCTGAGAGCTCACCAGTCTTTTAGCAACCTTGCTGGAAAAAAGAAGTTTGGTGACTGGACATAAGGTATCAAAAACCATAGGATCCAAGGATGGTCTTTTGAGGAAGGGGCAAGGCTGGTGGAACAACTCCCTCTGGCAAGGAGGCATTTACTGCTGCTTGGACCCAACCACATGCCAATTCCCTGGAGGACTTAATCAACCGGGAGGTGGCAGAGCTCACAACATTAAGGTCCCTGTCCACTTCTTGAGGATTGACCAGCTCAAAGTCTACCCAGATAAGCAAGCTAGGACATGCCTCAGTCCCTTTCACTGGATCTGCCCAGCCAGACTCTAATTCCAAAGTGGAGCAACTTTATTTGACAGATACCTACAATAATCCTCACAGTGAGCCCATAAGGGCTCACCTATCCTCCGCTACACCCAGGAAGGCCCTGATTATCCAAAATAGGATTACTGGCCAGCCATCCGCATACACAATAAAAGCAGAGAAGTAAGCATCCTCTTCTGCTCTTAAGTGTCACAAGGTAAATCCTACTGAAGGCTGGTACCTGTGCATGATTTTCTTCTACCAGCAGCCTTGTGTCATTTCATTTCCAAGAGCCTGGTCCATAAGTCAAGGGTCCCTATGTGATCTGCAACCAAAGTGTCCACAAAGAAGCAATCCAATCCAAGGTCCTTGTCACATGCTCATTCCAGGCTGCAACAAAGCTGAATCAAGCAGCAGAGCCTCGGGAGTAAGCCCAAGTTCTACTGGGATCCACCTGCTGCGGACTAATTCAAAATGCCCAAACTCCCTGAAGTGGGGGGAAGCCACATGAAACTCCAGGACCAAGAGGGAATGATCTGCCCATAACAAGGGACTGAGGTTAACATCCCCTAACCCCCGATCATCTTGCCATTGCCCCAAGCCAAACAGCAGATCTTATGTATGACCCCTTCTGCAGGTTGTGCCATTAATAAGCTGCTACCATGGTTCCATAAACTCCCAAACAACCTAAAATTCCAGGCCCAGAGAAGGCAGGTTGAAGTCCTCCAGAATTATAAGCTTGGGAACTTCATTGTCAACTCTGCCACAAAGTCCAGGCATTTGGGCAGGGCCACTGCCAGCCCATGGGGAGGAAGGTAGAAAAACAGCAAGATCCTTGAGACCCAACTTCACAAAGAAAAAAGTCATATCTGGCTATGTTTGGGGCACCACTCCTAAAAGTCATTAGAGGCTCCAGAATAACAATAGCCATTGCACCACCCCCACCCTGGAGTTGCATTTGGTGTCACATTTGAAACATTGGAGGACATCTGAGAAGATCAGCTTACTCATTATGTCTCCTTTGTCCACTTAAATTTCAGTTTGAGCTTCAAATGCCTGTAACCCTTGGGGACTTTGGAATGACTTCCCTTTCTCAAATGATATGCTCTTGTGTAGGTGTCTGGGCCTAGTACCATACTTTCTATGGCAATAGACGAAATCATATTCCCATCTGCCCACCTTCTTGCAACTATTTTTGAAACTATGAAATTTAGATTTACAAAACCCTGAAGCAGGTCAAAGGGACCCAAGCTGCTAGTTTCCTACACTATTTTACCCACCTGAGAAGTTACATTATTCTTTGTGTAGTGCAAAATCAATAAATTTTCATTCTATCAGTCTTGTTATTTGAGCAGGTACTATTTTGTAAAAACAGAAAGTGACAAGAAAATATAACTTGTGAGAAATCGGGGGGAAATACACCAGTGGCAGAGAAAGAAAAGGCTGCCGCTTACTGAATCTTGTGATGTGGTCACGTAGAAGTAAAACCCTTTGATATGAATTAGTAATTCATCCAGAATGTAAAGCAGAAGTATAAATGCCTACTTACTTTCTTTCTATTTCTGGTGTGGATGCTACACTGCTAAAGCCAAGGGATTCCTGGAAGAGAAGATTCATTGCTTTGAGTTGAGGCTGAACAACCAAAAGCTTTATTATCTGATTGATGCAGGAACAAAAATAAAGAATTGAATCCATTGTGCTTACTTCAATCTGGGATTGCAGCTGTAGGGATGTGGAGCTGGCATCAGATTTCTCCTGAAACAGAACAGATGTCAAGTTAGCGAAACATACAAGTGTGGCAGTGTTGACAAGCAAAGTAGCAAGACAGCAAAAAGAAGAACAAAATAGGACAGGAATAAAGAGACCACCAAACTATCTCAGATCAGATGCTTCCAGAAACTGGCTAGAGCACGCTGGTGTGACATGAAAGTAAATTCACAATTTCATTTTATTTATTAGAGTTTCCTCTACGAGATCAGTGGCATGCATAGCATATCTTCTCCAACATTTGTTCAAAAACAACCCTGTGATGTTGGCTGGGGACAGAGAGGAGGATTGGCTCAAAATTGTCCCTGAACTTTCATGGATGACAGTGAACTTGAATCTGAATCTTTTTGGCTCAATACTTTAGCCATCACATCTCACAAGAACATCTCCATATATCCTGGATTACATAAAGCAGTCATTCCATTGGATGAGAAAGCACTAGCAGTAATATGTTATTTTAGAAGCACTGTCAAACTCTTGTCATAACATTTCTCTTACTTTCTTTGTTTTTTATGCAATTTACAGTGGGAACACTAGATGGCTCAGTATACTGCACAGTTTTGTAAACTGGAAACAAAAGGAATGAGCAGAAGCAAAGAAATAAACAATCCTGTTAACATCTGCATCGCCTTCTAAATCTACTTCTCCAGATGTGGAAAACTGTGTGTAGCTCTGGCTGCCACATCTTAAGAAGGATGTAACAGAAATGGAAAAAACATTAAAAACTATAACCAAAATGACTTGGGGCTTGAACACATGTTCTTTGAGACACAACACTGAAGATTCTTTACCTCAGAAAACAAATGTGACTGAATGAAGACATGATCAAGTTACATAAAATTATAGCAAGCAGACAGGGAAACATAATTCAAAATATAGCAATAACAAAGGGATGAACATCCTCACCTAAAGCCCCAATTAACTGATAATGAAGAATTGGTTACAAACAGTGGAAGAGGGTTTGATCTGAGTGCATATACAAAGACTCTGACCTGGCACTTTACAACAGCTCAAAATTACAAAGGACAAAAAAGCTACTTACGATTCATCCTCAAAGTTATGACTGCTGCACACAAAGACGCCTGAAGACACATGATTGCATTTTGGGCTTTAGCAACCAGTCAGCATTTAGGACTGGTTGCCGTGTCCCATGGTCATGTGACCAGAATTAGCAGAAAATGGCAAAAAATATCCATTGGATATGCTGGATTTGCTTAACAGCCACATGATTGAAAAGTGGTCATAAATTGGGAGTCTGGTTGTGCGGTGTCTTGACTTACAGTCACGATGACTTATGACCAAAATTCTGGCCTCATTGTGGTTGTAAGTCAAGAATTACCTATAAATAGTAGTAGTCGTAGTAGTAGTATTAGTAATAAAGAGTAGTAGTAATAGTAGTATTTTATTGTATTCATTGACCAGCTCAAACATGTAAGTACTTTTCAAACAATTTTTTTAAAAAAACCCAAGATTTGTGAATGGACTGCAAAACCATAATCAATTCAAGGACAGACAAGAAGGGAGATGTAGGTAGACAACTATATATGACCTATAGCATCAGAACATTTTCAACCTACATAGAGTCCCAAACCTAATTCAATCCAAGAAGTTTATAATTTCCCTATTGGCTTGTGCAATGCCTTTTCCTTATATCAAAGAAACAAATGCACATTCCTCTGAAAATTGTAATTAGTTTTTAATGTCATTGATTTGGAGAGATGGAAACAAAACAACTTATGAACATGAAGTTTGGTGATGTTTTTCTTCTGAGTTGAAAAAGTCTGCATGAAGCAGTCAAAGTAATGAAAACATTAGCAAAAATTAAGTTAAGAGTGTCTTCATTCTCTCACCAAAGCAAAGTTCCATAGAAAGCAGATGTATGAAACTTCCCATTTCTTCATTAAGCCAAGCTAACTATCCAGCTGGAAAAGCAATGGGAACATTACTAAGGTTCTTCTTTTGTCTCCTGTCATCCCACCTCCAATGACATAAAACAGCCAGAAAAGGAAGGGGACAGCTCTGCAGTTCTGCAGTATCCGGTTCATTTAAGTGTCTATTGAGTGTCAAGGAAATAAAAGAGGGGACATTTTACCAGACATTGCAGCTCAATCCACACACCATGAGAAAGCAGATCCTGGCTGTGCACTAAGAGTAATTTTTCTTGCTGGCTTTTGGATAGCAAGTGTTTGGCTTTGTTGAATTTAGTCAGAATTGAAGGGGTTGTGATAGAGCTGCTTTTACCTTAGATAAGATCTATATTAATTCACATTACCTTTTGTCTTTTTAAAGGAGATACCTTGATTACCTAAGCTGACTATAAACAATATTTACTATGCACAGCGGATATCATTGTGAAGGGAAGGTAGAGCAGATTCTTCCGTCCTCCTCAAACCCTCTAAGGGAAAGACCAGCTGCATCCTGTGCTAACAAAATCCAGATTCTGCTCTGTCTCTCTTTCTCTTGTTTACAGCATGAGTAACTTCTCTTGTCTTCACAACTAAAAAGCCACAGTGTTCTTTGCAAAAAGTAAACATTGGGATTTCATTGAGAGGGAGGGAGGGAGGGAGAGAGAGAGAGACAGAGGGGGGGGGAGAGGGAGCACTGGGTATTATTTACCAGCATTGGGTAAGTAATAAAAATACCTTAGAGGGATAATATTTTGCTTAATAAAGGATTGCTTTTGTCCTTGTTTACAAGGGATGGCTCTACATGTAGCACAATTTGTAATTTCTGAATGATAATGAAAAGCTCCATAGGTAGACTGTGTGTATTAGACAATGTGTAAACTTCATAAGAGTAGCATGGAATGCTCTCTTCCTCTGGGTTAAAGAGTTGTTGTTGTTAGTTGCGAAGTCGTGTCCGACCCATTGCGACCCCATGGACAACGTTCGTCCAGGCCTTCCTGTCCTCTACCATCCTCTGGAGTCCATTTAAGCTCATGCCTACTGTTTCAGTGACTCCATCCAGCCACCTCATTCTCTGTCGTCCCGTTCTTCTTTTGCCCTCAATCTTTCCCAGCATTAGGCTCTTCTCCAGCGAGTCCTTCCTTCATATTAGGTGGCCAAAGTATTTGAGTTTCATCTTCAGGATCTGGCCTTCTAAAGAGTAGTCAGGGTTGATCTTTTCTAGGACTGACTGGTTTGTTCACCTTGCAGTCCAAGGGACTCGCAGGAGTCTTCTCCAGCACCATAGTTCAAAGGCTTCAATTCTTTGGCTCTCAGCCTTTCTTATGGTCCAGCTTTCACAGCCATACATTGCAACTGGGAAAACCATAGCCTTGACTATACGCACTTTTGTTGGCAGGGTGATATCTCTGCTTTTTAGTATGCTGTCTAGATTTGCCATAGCTTTCCTTCCCAGGAGCAAACGTCTTTTAATTTCTTGGCTGCAGTCCCCGTTTACGGTGATCTTGGAGCCCAGGAAAATAAAATCTGTCACTATCTCCATTTCTTCCCCATCTATTTGCCAGGAGTTAAAGAGTTACTTTAACTTAATTTGCTTCAGTGAATATGGCAGACATTATGCTGAAATTTAAGCTATTGTCAAAAATTGTTTTTTGAATAGTAATTTTATTAAGATGTATCATTACAACAACAATAAAAACGAATACAAAGAACCTGAAAGAATAAAAAGTAGAAGATGCAAAAAAGGGGAAAAATAGAAAGAGAAATAGAAAAGAAAGAAAAATAGGAATATATAAAAGAAAAAAGTAATATATAAATAAGTAATTACCCACCTTCATCACAGTAAGCATGACAGTTTTAGTAACTTATTACCTTCTCTTAAAATAGGATCATTTCCCCCTATATCCCATCTTTTATCTATAAACAAAACCTCCTAAAACATAATCATTTCAGGTCTGATATCAACAAAAGTCCATTAAGGATTACCAGAGATAGCAATTTATCTATTTTATCCTTGAACAAATAAACCAACTTTATATTCCTTCCTTTTACTTCTAAAAGTTTTGATCTTTAATCCTTTAATAATGTCCCAGAATTTTATTTTATTTTTTCTTCTCAAAAAATTATTTAAACTTTAAGATGCCTGTTTTGCAAATTCAAAATAGAAAAATTTTCCTGGTCATTCTCTTGGTATACAAATTTAATAAAAATAAAAATAAATGTTGTTTAAATACCCTTTTTAATTATTAAGACATTGGCCAGTTTCTTTTGTATCGTCAACAGAATTTGTTCCTCTTCCATAACATCTTTTAGACATTGAATATCTATAGAGGCAGACACTATTAAAATTAGCTTCTGGGTCCATTGTTCAAATATATCCTTCAATATATCCGATCTGTACAATATTTTTATCCATTCTTTGTTCTTCTTTAATTGTAATCTTTAGTTTTTTTCTAATTTAATCACTAATTCTAATGTCGAATGTTTAAAATCTTGGTAGAAAACCGGTGTAAAGTCCTGGCAGAGGTTAGGTGTTCATGGTCTCCAAAGTGACCACTGCCTTGGCATCTCATTTTATTTTCATCTCTGAGGAAAGTATGGGGAGGGGAGATTTCTCTCGTCCCTTTGTCATGATGTGATAACTTCCCTGTCAGGTGAAATAGACTGGGGTGAGAAGGCCTATTGGATGGGCTATCCCAGGCAACTCAGGAACCCCAATAGATTCCAGAGGGTATTTAAGAAGTTTCCAGAGAGCTGCTAGGCAGTTCTGTTGCATGCCTGGTTAGTCACTGTCAATAGGAGGCGAGGTAGGCTCACGAGCTCTGTGTGTGCTCATTTTAGGTGGCTCCTTGGTTTGTCAAAGAGCTCTAGCAGACAAATTAGAAGCAGCTTTTAAAATTCAGCTGTATATTCTTTAAATTCAATAACTAATAAATAAAATATAAGGAACACTTGGGAAGACAGTGGACGAAAACCGAAAGTACAATTTGCCAACACAAGTATCACCGCAAAATTTGGGCCTACAACATCACAGTAATAGAGGTAAAGTACTCTAACCTCACCTACTTTATTGTATCAATGGGG